AACCAAAACCAAAAACTCTTTCCTGATGGTCAGGCTGACCCTGCTGTCCTATTTGCCACTTTTATAAACCCACCAGTCTGATTAAGGACCCTATTTTTAAGAAAAACTTTTAAACCATGCATTTTTAGAGTTATTGCAACAATAACACTGTTGTAGCCTAACAATTGATACTTGCAGATCAATGATCCAGAAGATAATTAAACTTTCTGTCTATCAGCAAATTAGCAACAAAATCTCTGGAGACCATGCTCCATTAACTTCCATTAAGGGTGGATTTCGGCTGAAATTTCTTTACTTCATTATTCGGAATTAGTATGTTTGTTTTGAAATTATACTAAAGTTGTGTAAACAGTCTCAGTAAATCTAATGACTTTACCTAATACCTACGCCCGAAACAGAGTAAGTTTTAAGTAAAACAACATATGTTAACTATAAAACTGGGTCATAGTTACCTAACAATTAATTACAAGGAAAATACACATCCACTGTGCATCATAAAGAATCAAGGCAGTTTATTTATTTATTTATTTTTAGAGACAAAGTCTCAGTTTGTCGCCCTCGGTAGAGTGCGATGCGGCTCAACTCATAGTAACCTCCAACTCCTGGGCTTAGGCGATTCTCTTGCCTCAGCCTCCCGAGTAGGTGGGACTACAGGTGCCCGCCACAACGCCCGGCTATTATTTGTTGCAGTTTGCCCAGGGCCTGGTTCGAACCCTCCACCCTCAGTATATGGGGCTGGCGAGCTACCCACTGAGCCGCCCGAATTAAAGCAGTTTAAAAACTCAAAGCCCAACGATAATGTATTACTCCATGAAAAGTGTTTCCTTTGGTTCTAAGGGCTCTGGTGTTACAACAGAAATAATGATTGGAGTCTCTAGGTTTCCCTTATTACTTAATATTTTTAAACCCAGAAACGGCCTGTTTGAGGAAACTGACGGAGGGCGGAAAGCCAGATTAAAATAGGCTTGGAACGGCCAAATTAAAATAACTGTACAGAGCCAAGAGAACTCCAAGCTTTTTAACTGCCCCAGGCGGATCAGGGAAAGGAGAGGGAACCTTACCTGCCAGCGGCCGTAGGTGAGAAGGACCATAGAAATGGGGATGGCGGTGCCGGACATGGCATGCGTGGAGGGCATGCTGTACTCGGAGTTGTAGAAGACCTCCAACTTGACCACCGGCGGCGAGGCGGGCCGCGGCCAGCGGATGATGTCCTTGGTGCACTGGCCCAGGTACATGACCAGCACCCAGATGACCACGAGCCTCCGGCCCACCAGGGGGTCCAGGTTCCAGATCCAGAAGGGGAAGAACATGATGTAAAAGAGTTCGTTCCCCAGCTCGGTGCCGAAGCAGAACAGGTAGTAGAGCGGCCAGTTGCTCACGCAGGCCAGCTCGCCCTCCTCGCCCGTCAGCGAGTTGCGGCGCAGGGCGCCCGCGCGCCGCGGCCAGGCCGGGCCCAGCTCGGCGGCCAGCCCGTTCCGCACGCCGTTGGGGGCCCCGCCGCCGCCCGGCTTGGCAGGGCACTGATTGCGGTCGCTGCCGGGCGGCGGCGGGTCCCCGGGGGCCCTCGCCTGCCGGTCTCGCCGCCGGGGGTCTCCGGCTCGGGGCGCCTCCGCCTCCTCATCCTGCCTCGGGTCGGCGGAGCGGCTCGGCAGCGCTTCCACCCCGCACAGCCGCTGGAAACGGGCCACTTTCTGCGGCTCCTGCAGCCAGCCGGCCAGCCGGGCCAGGCGCTGCCTCAGCGACATGATAACGGGACCTGCCGGAAGGCAGGCTGGCCCCGGCGCAGCCCC